CTACCTTTTAAAAGTTATTAATTAATTTATTTATTATTTTAGTACTAGGGATGGCAACAAGGACCTCCCACATGCTAGGCAAATGCTCTACCACTGAACCACACCCTCAGCTCTTTTTACATATTTTTAGTTTACTCCCCCAAGTAGAGAATAAACTCCTGAGAACAGAAACCTCATCTATTTCATTCCTGCAGTATTCCCAGAGTAGTGCCCTCACCCAGCAGGATGTCAATAACTGTGAGGTGAATGAACGAACTTGGTCTCTGCTTCTGGAAGGCAGAGAGGACACATGCAGGCAATTTCAATAAGATTAAAAAGCCATGAGTGAGGGAAACCCAAAGGCCTGGGGATGGGGACATGGATGTGGGAGGCAGGAAGAATGAGGAAAAATGATCTAGAGGAATTGAGGTTTGAACAATCTTAGGCTGTTCCATAGTCAGCCAGGCAAAGAGAAGGAGGGAGGGATGTGCTAGGCAGAGAAATAGCAAGAATAAAAGCACACAGGTGTGAGCCCCAACCCCAGAGGAGACACACTGGTTACATTTTGGATGACTTCAAAGTTCTATTGATCAACAAGGTGCAACTAGGCACTAAGGGAGGAGAGACCAAGGGAAAAGGAGTCACATGGGGCCCAGGAACCTGGGATTGAACGGAGGGCAGCAGAAATGGGACGAGCCAGGGTGATGGGTCCTGTGGGCACCAAGGGCAATAGCTTTGGGAAAGCCAGGGTTCTACCAAGGACCCCCACACTGATTCTGGCCCTGTAATTGGAAGGAAGAAGCCCATCTCTCCTGGGCCTCCTGTGGGGGCCATGTGGACTGGGGAGGCTCCACAGTGAGACAAACCCGAATGTCCACTCTTCAAGGTGGGGTTTCTGGGAAGCCGATTTTGAGCTGGAGGTTGGCATATAGGCCCATATTTCCTGGAGTAGGCAAATACCAGGTTGTATATAATTTTATCAATGAATACTTCAGTATGTGTATCAAATGCGTAAGGAGTTAAAAAATAATTATAACCTCACTATCATATCTAACATAATTAACATAAATATTTTTTGGGGTGGTGCTGGGAATTGAACCCAGGATCTCACTCAGGTTAGCCACATCTCAGCCCTGGTGCTAATTTCTTTTCTTTTTCTTTTTCTGGCAGTACTGAGGATGAACCCAAGGATACTGTACCACCGAACTATATCTCCATCCCCTTTAATAATTTCATTTTAAGACAGGGTCTTGTTAAATTACTGAGGCTGGTCTTGAACTGGCGATCCTCCTGCCTCAGCCTTCTGAGTTGCTGGGATTGCAGGTGTGCACCACAATACCCAGCTAATATCTTAATTCTAATATTTATTTAGTTTGTTCTTTAGTTTCCCAATTGTCTAAAAAACAGGGTTGTTTTTTTTTTCCAATTGGTTTATTTGAATCAGGATCCAAACAAGGTCCATACCCAGCATTTGGTTACTCAACTGAACTTCATAAATGAGAATTTGACATTCCCCTTGTTCTCTTCTCACTCACTCCTCAGCTCAGCCTTAGAAGCTGCTCTCTGATCACACAAGATGGATTTCTATATTGCCACATTCAGTGTTTGGTGTTTTTTTGTTTGTTTATTGGTCTCCCTGTGGCTTTCCACATTGTTGACCACTTGATCTTATGCTTTTGAAAATTTCTTCCCTTAGATCTCCAGCATGGTAGATCTGGTTCTCTTCCAACCTCTCCAACCTACCTCTGCTGTCTCCATAGGTTTCTCTGCCTTTGATTCCTTTGATGTTCAGCTCTTAGGAGTTTAAACTTGATCTTCCTAAATGTTTCAGAGGCACCCCAAATGTGATGTCTCTAAATGAATTCATTCTCCTCACCCCTCTATGCTATTCCTTCTCAGTATCATCTCCATGGAGACAGGCCACCAGAGCCCCAGTCATCTGGCCCAGAAACCTAGCAGTTCTCCTTGATTACTCCCTTTCTCTCAATCAATATCCTATTTGTCACCATGTCTGTCCATCAAATTTCCCAAATAATTCTCACAACTATCCATTTCTATCTATTCACTCTGCCAGAACCAGGCCTCTGGCTCTTCAGATAATTGTGGCTGTCTATGTGTTGTCTCCCTGCCCCTCATCTGCAGCCCTTAAAGTTTATTCTTTATATAGCTGAGATGTCAAAGCCATTTTCCCCAAACTCAGGTCCAGCCTTTTCTCTTCCTTACTCAGAATCCTTCAGTGACTCCACATTTTCTGCAGAATAGAGTACAGATGGCCCTTGGTTTACGCCTGCTCAATTTAAGATTTTTTCAGCCTTGCAATGGAGCAAAATTGATGTGTATTCAGTAGAAAATATACTTCAGATTTTGAATTTAAGTGAAGACAGGATCACAATTAATGCCAGGGAAAAGGGAGAATCAGTAATACTGTCTCATGATGGGCAATGGCAGTGAGCCACAGCTCCCTGGAAGTCGTGTGATCACAAGGGGGAAATCACCAAGACTCTATAGTGTACTTGTTGCTAAGTTAAGTTAGATGTAGCAAATGAATATTCATTTATGCCATTTTCAACTTACGGTGAGTTTATTGGGATATGATCCCCTTGTAGGTGGAGGAACCTCTGTACTTACTACTTAGCCTGACATTCAAGACCCTTCCTGATTGACCAGTGTTTACTTTTTTAGCCCTTTCTCTCCTTACCTCCCTCAGACTTTACGTTTTCATCAAACTGAAGGTCTCAAGTTCCTCAGAACAAGGTACATCTTCTGTTCTTGCAGGACTATGCACATGCTGTCCCCTCTACCTGGGATTCTTCTTCCTTCATGAGGCCAGCTCTCCTGCTTCCCTCATCCCAGGTCATTCCTCACCCTTAAGATTGCGCTGGGCACAACTTCTCTGAATTCCCACTACACCTGCCACCTCCATCATCAGAGCACTTATCACTGAATCTATCTATCTCTGAATCTCTCTCTTGCAAAATGGTGTGTGAGTCACGCAGGGGCAGGGACAAGGATTGTTCTCTGAGGCCTCAGTACCCTGATCAGGTCTTGGAGCCCCAAGTGCTTGTCTAACGAATCCAAGAATGGGTGACTGGGCAGGTGAATTGGGCTAATCAGTGTGTACACCATGTTCACATGGTGGTATTAAAAAATTTTTTTAAAATCAAAATTAATGCAAAAAAATTCATGGTGAACAAAATATAAAAAATTTAAGTGAAGACAGGATCCCAATTAGTGCCAGGGAAAAGGGAGAATCAGTAATACTCATTTTGATTTTTAAAAATATTGCATTAAAGTATTATTTCCCAGCTGGGCACAATGGTGCATACCTATAATCTCAGCTACTCAGGAGGCTGAGGCAGGAGGATCACAAGTTCAAGGCTAGCCTGGGTAATTTAGTGAGCTCCTGTCTCAAAATAAAAAGGGTTGGGAAAAGTAAAATAAAATAAAATATAATAAAAAGGGTTGGGGATGTAGCTCAGTGGTAGAGTGCCCAGCACTAAAAAAAAACCATTTTTTTTCCTCTTGACTACTGAAGTTTTAGTGCTCTGCTTTACACTTTGCACCCAGTAAGTGCTTTACTTGCCTTACCCTCACCCTGGCCCTGAGGCGTGGGCAGGCCTGGCACAGTGGGCAAGACACATGATGTCCTAAAAATATTTCCAGAAATAGTTGCCCTCACCCTATTGAGCCAGAGCCCAAAGAAGAAGGAAAACCCAAAGAAGAGGAAGGCACTTCCTGTGTGGGTTGGGGGAAAGGGACATGACTTCTCCAAAGAACTAGAGTAAGCGCCTTGCCCTGTGGGCTGCCCTCACCCTGACGTCTCTCAGGGCTGACCATCTGTGCGTCCTTGATAGAGTCCTGCACAGTACGAGAGTCCCAGGTGAGGGCTTAAAGGAAAGGGGAGCCGAGACTGTGGAGCAGCAATATTCAAATCTCTCAGCAATCATTTTTTTGGGGGATACCAGGGACTCAGAGGCACTCAACCACTAGCACATCCCAGCCCTATTTTGTATTTAGCGTGTCACTGTTGCTGAGGCTGGCTTTGAACTTTTGATTTTCCTGCCTCAGCCTCTTGAGCCACAGGGATTACAGGCAAGCACCACCTCGCCTGGCTCTCTCAGGAGTCTTTTCTATCCTTAAAAATTATTAAGGGCACACTGGGAATGTAGCTTAGTGGTAGAACACTCGCCTAGCTTGGGTCAGACCTGGATTCAATACCCAGTAAGACAGGTAGACATGCATGCACACACATACCCACACCCGTGCACACGACATGAGAAAAAAATTGAGAGCCCTCAGAAAGTTTTGGTTTATATAGAGTATATCCATCAATATTTACCATATTCAAAACGAAAGCTAAGACATTCTAAACATTTTCATTTTTAAATTTAGAAACCTATGATGGGGCTGGGGTTTTGGCTCAGCGGTAGAGTGCTCCCCTAGCACTTGTGAGGCCCTGGGTTCGACCCTCAGCACCACATATATTTATTTTTTTCTTTTTTGTGGTGCTGGGGATTGAACCCAGGGCCTTGTGCATGCAAGGCAATCACTCTACCAACTGAGCTATATCCCCAGCCTCTCAGCACCACATATAAATAAATAAAATAAAGATATTGTGTCCACTACAACTAAAAAATATTTTTAAAAAATTAAAAATCCATGAATAAATTCCTTCCATATTAACATAACTTTTTTTTGAAAAATAACTAGATTTTCTAAAACAAACAATTTAAGGAGAGGAGTGGCATTGATTTATATTTTATATAAACCTCTTTAGAATCGGGCTTAACAGAAGACAGCTGGATCCTCATATCTGCTTCTACATTCTGTCTGTTGAGATGTGTTGTTTGGGTTGAAGTACGTGAAGAAATCTGCCCTCATATAACTGTGCACTGTGCACTTCTTTTCTCCTGCCCCTGTACTACGGATTTAATCCAGGGACAATTTACCCGCTGAGCTATATCCCCAGCCATTTTTAAGTTTTAAAATTTAAATTAAAAAAATTTTAATTTTTTCTTTAGCAGGATCTTGCTAAGTTGATGAGGCTGGTCTTGAATTTGTGATCTTCCTGCCAGTCTACCAAATCACTAGGTTAATAGGTGAGTGTCACTCCTGCACCTGGCACAAATGGTAATTTCTTAAAGATTAGTTACAATGTAGGACGTGAATCATATTCATGAACTTTTATTTATTTACATATATTTTTTGTAGTAGGGATTGAATCCAGGGGGACTCTACCACTGAGCTATATCCCCATCCCCTTTTTATTTTTTATTTTTTGAGACTAGTTTCTCTAAATTGCCCAGGCTGGCCTCAAACTTGCAATCCTCCTGTTTCAGCCTTAGGAGCCACTGGGATTACAGGTGTGCACAATTGTGCCCAGCTGTAACTTTTTTGAAACCCTTTACACTATAGTATATTGGTTTATCTTGCCATTTGAATGGATCTTTAATCCACACATAATTTTATTCAGAAAATATTGGCTCAGTGATTTACGCAGGTCTTCTAATGTCAGCCTTTCATTATATAATATAAAAATTGCATTTGTTAATATTTCCAGCAATCTTGGAAAAATTTTTTTTATTTTATTTTTTGGTGCTGGGTATTGAACCCATGGGCTCATGTAATTCATGGGCTTGTGCTCTACCATTGAATTATACCCCAGGTAGAAAATTCTTTAAGTATTAGAAAGCTGGGAAGCTCAAGCTGGTAGATACAAAAAATTCCTATTGTCCCTTGAACACTCAAATTTCACCATTGACAACTAATCCTATCATTTGAGGTGACAGGCTTCCTTCATTTATATATGAGAAAATGTCTGCCAATTCCCCACATCTGAAAAACCATAGTTTGTCAGTCATTTTGAAGGGCGACCCATGAAGAATGTTCAGTTCACAGCTCAAACAATCAGAGAAGTGCTGTTTGCTGACCATCATTTTGTTTCCATTTGCTATAGAAGTCTTTCATGTGTGTTTCCCATTTTACACACAGAATATTAAAGATGTATACTAAAGTTGACCAAAATAAGAACTTTCCTCACTTTATGAAGGACACTTAATTAATCTATTTATTTATTTTGTGGTACTAATGATCCAACCCAGGGCCTTGCAAAGGCTAGGCAAGGGTTCTGCTAATGAGCTACACCCACAGCCCTTTTTATTTTTTATTTTGAGATGGGGTCTTGCTAATTTGTCCAGGCTGGCTTTGAACGAGTCATCCTCCTGTCTCAGACTTGAAAGTAGCTGGAATTACAGGCTGTGCCACCATGCCTGGCTATGAAGGACATTTTAAAGTCAAATTAACTTTTTATTTATTTTTTCAATTATTTTTACACTGCCAGTCCATGGCTGTGAAGAATACAATGACTCCTAGTACGGTTTGGTCTCACTTCCTTGCTTTGTGCTAAGGAGCCAGCAGTTTTGCTTACCATTGCTTTTGTACGATTAGTATAAATGTCAACACAGTGGAAAGGAAAATAATGCCTTGGTATTATTGTGAAAATAGTTTTCTCCTGGATTCTTATCCTCCATCCCTAATTCTATGGCCTGCCCTTTGAGAACTATCATCCTGGATCTTCGAGATCAGATGGCAAAACTACCTTGAGGAAAGGAAAAGATCCCAGGAGAGTAGAAGCTAGCAATTTTGCTGCGCGGGAAGCAACATAAAATGTGCCCTCTGCCAAGCATAGTGGCATACACCCATAGTGCTATATACTTGGGAGGTCTCAAAATTTTAATTTCAAATTCTGTCTATAGAAAAATATTCATATTTTATCAGAAAAAATTAAAATTTTTTGTGATATGGATTTTATGACTGGAAATAGATTCATAAAAACATTATTTTATGTAGAAAGAAAAAAAATACTGCCAATTATTTGGAAGATGACATTGATTTTAGAATTTAAAAATATGCAAAATTAGAATATGTAAATGTATTAGTCTGCTATAACAAAATACTTGAGACTGGGCAATTTGTAAAGAGCAGAAACTTATTTCTCTTGGGTCTGGAAGCTGGAAGTTCAAGGTCAAGATTCTATATGTTCAACCAGAAAAATGAGAAGAAGTTAAACTCCATTTATGTATGATGTGTCAAAATGCATTCTACTGTCATGTATAACTAATTAGAATAAAAAATAAATGAAAAAAAAAAGATTCTGTGTGTTGAGGTGTGGTGTCTGTTTCCAATATGGCGTCTTGAACACTGTGTCATGGTAGAAGGGATGGAAATGTCAAGAAAGATTGTACCCTTCAACCCTAAACCCTTTCATAAGGGTGCTTATCTTATCCATGAGGGCTCCACCTTTGTCACCTCCCAAAGGCTAGACCTCCTAATGTTATTGGGGATGAAGTTTCAACATAAATTTTGGAGGGGACACCATTGTTGCAGACCACAGCAGGGAGTCTTGGAGTTGATGAAATAGGATAGACTTTTCTTGGTTCTTTATTAACCAGTACCTTTGTATGGTCTTTCAGGCACACCCGGGACCCTATGATCAGCTGACCCTTTCAGCCTACAGCAATGGAGCCAAATGGCTCGTCCCGTGTGGATTCCGAGTTTCGATACATTCTCTTCCCAATTATTTACAGCATCATCTTTGTGGTGGGAGTCATTGCCAATGGCTATGTGCTATGGGTCTTTGCCCACTTGTATCCTTCCAAGAAACTAAATGAGATAAAGATCTTCATGTTAAACCTCACTGTGGCTGACCTGCTCTTCCTGATCACCCTGCCACTCTGGATTATCTATTACTACAACCAGGGCAACTGGATTCTACCCAAATTTCTGTGCAATGTGGCTGGCTGCCTCTTCTTCATCAACACCTACTGCTCCGTGGCCTTCCTTGGAGTCATCACTTATAACCGCTTCCAGGCAGTCACACGGCCCATCAGGACTGCTCAGGCCACCACCCGCAAACGTGGCATCTATTTGTCCCTGGTTATTTGGGTGTTCATTGTGGCCGCTGCATCCTACTTCCTTATCTTGGACTCCACCAACATAGTGATGGATAAGGTCGGCTCGGGCAACATCACCCGTTGCTTTGAGCATTATGAGAAGGGCAGCGTGCCGGTCCTTGTCATCCACATCTTCATCGTGTTCAGCTTCTTCCTGGTCTTCCTCATTATCCTCTTCTGCAACCTGGTCATTATCCGCACGCTCCTCCTGCAGCCCGTGCAGCAGAAGCACAATGCACAAGTGAAGCGCCGGGCGCTGTGGATGGTCTGCGCTGTCTTGGCGGTGTTCATCATCTGCTTCGTGCCCCACCACGTGGTGCAGCTGCCCTGGACCCTGGCTGAGTTGGGCTACCAGGACAGCTACTTCCACCAGGCTATAAACGATGCACATCAGGTCACCCTCTGCCTCCTTAGCACCAACTGTGTCTTAGACCCTGTCATCTACTGTTTCCTCACCAAGAAGTTCCGCAAACACCTCACTGAAAAGTTTTACAATATGCGCAGCAGCCGGAAATGCTCCCGGGTCACCACTGACACAGGCACCGACGTGGTCATGCCAATCAACCAGATCCCTGTGGATTCTCTCAAAAATTAGTCCTTGCTTGTTGGGGTCAGGCCCCAAATCTTCTCTTTCATCCATATCCTGGACTGAGCTGGAGGAAGAAGGGATATTTGCTGTGGTCACCACTCCCTGGCAGTGGTAACTCATTAAGCTTGGAGGCAACCTCACTCAGGCAGGGGTGAGAGCAGCAAGGGACTGCTGGTAAAGCCAGAGCTAGAATGAGCCCCTCATATGCTTTTGGGCACATACTATGCTAACTTTGGCTGATGAACTTATCCTGAGCCCCTGAGTCTGATGGGTCTAGGAGCCAGGTTCTGACTTTGGAGGTAGAGTCAGAGCCACCCAGTACTCCCCCCAGGGGCAACAGCCTAAAGCTCTGGGCAATGACTCCCAAGTGCTAAAGACGAAAGTGGGTTTTTGGGAAAGAGATTTGCTGAGTGGAAGAATCTTTGGGGCAGAGTTTGATGTAGGATGGTGCCATCCTCTTTCCACCCACAGGTAAAAGGCCTTTGTGACATTTCTCAGGGGAAGTGGCTCAGTGGAATCTTCTGATTCACACAGCAGCCTGTCCCAATGGCAACCAGAGAAGATAAAACATGAACAATAAAAAACTAGAATGGGAGCCTGTTTTCTGAGGCACATGTATCTCTCTGCAAAGGCCTCACCTCGGGCCTCACTCAGCTCTGAGTGAGGGGGAGAAAGATGGCCACCCCAGCCATCTTTCTGTCTTAGCAGCTCCTAGGCCTGGCCATGAGTTCACAGCCAGCTTCAGCAAAAGTGAGATGCTAAGCAACTCAGTGAGACCCTGTCTCTAAATAAAACACAAAATAGGGCTGGGGATGTGGCTCAGTGTCAAGTGCCCCTGAGTTCAATCCCCAGTACCCCCCACCACCAAAGCCCCCCAAACAGCCCCTAATTAAATACCTTCTGTGGAGCAGCCACCCCCACAAAATTTGGATTTGTCCAGGTCAGGGCACCTTGATGTCCAGAGGCTTCTATTTGAAACAGGCACTTAGGCTAGGAAGAGCCAGAGGTTTCTGCATAGAAGGAGCCTGCTTGGTCTCTGGGAGGATCCTCCCAATCAAGTCTCCAGGAGGTGGAAGGGACGATTATAGTCCTAAGGTCTGGCAGGGGTCAGATTTTCTTGAGGATCTCTGGATACCTATTTATGATTTTTGGCAAGTATATTTAAAAGAGACTCAAATCTTACCCTGAGACAAGTACCTGTTGTGTGAGCCTGGTAGCCTTAGATTCAAGGGATTGAAGGAGGCTTCTCTGGATTTTTAGAGCCTTGTACTCCTTCTAAGAAATCTTCATTCTTTGAAGCCAGTGTTCCCATGAAGCTGGGACTCTTGTTTCTGCTTTGCTAGGCAAGCACTGGTTTGCTGATCTTGATAAATGTCTCCCATTTGGTCAGTAACCTGTTTTGGGGACAGTAGCTATGGGCTGGACCCTAGCTGATGGTGACCAGGTGGTTAGAGCAGCATATTTGAACTATGGTATTACATATAACTACGGTATCACATATTTGAACTATGGTATCACATATCACATAGACAGTTTTGGCTTTTCACTTCCTGCCAAGGGACCAGGAACTCACTTTTCTACCTCTTCATTGTTACCTGTGGAGTAAACCCTACCTCGTTGGGTTATGAGCAGTGAGTGTTAAGGCAGACACCCCTTGATCAGAGTGACTGCTTAAAACAGAGTCACCCCTTTTCTGAGAACTTGACCCCCTCAGTCTTCCAGTTGGAGCTGAAAGGATGAGAGGTGGGCACTAGATTCAGGGATGCTGTTTCAGGCTGTGAATTTGTCTGTGTGTTCATCTGTGGATGTAGGGGCTGGGGTGGCCACCGTGTGAGTGTAGTAGAGAAAATGGCTCTGCCCAAGAGAAGATGTGCAGAGAGAAACCACAGGAGCCTGAAGAGAAGAGGGGACAGCGCTTCCAGGGGCCTGCTGGTTATCCTCTGTACTCCTTCCTTTGTGTCCTATGAAATTCCCTTGTCAGGATACCTTTTCTTATCTTGCTTAATCTAATCTGAATAGGGTCTGTTACTTGCAACCAAAAAAGTCCCAAATGAAGTAAGTGTTTATTGCTACTGCACAGTATTTCCTGAATGTCAGTCATTTGCATATCTTCTTGCGATGTTTGCAGTATGGCTGTATCACCTGGATGTTTACTTAATAAATATTTTCCTGCAGTCAATTTTTAGAACTTATGTTTATTGAAAAGAAAAAACTTAAAATTGAAAATGAAAACTAAATGCCACCAGCCACAAGTAGAAGGTAAATGTAAGCATGAAAACATAACTAGGAAACATGTTTCTCTGTGTTCTATCTGAAGTTACCACATATGCCCCAGTGACTTGTATAGCATACCTCAGGGAACCCTGCTGTCATGTGGATAGTGCCCAGGATCTGCATTTAGTAATTACTCAATAAAAAAACAACTGATATTCATAACATGGTAACTTATGATTACCCCATTGCTTCTCCCAGGATGTTGTCCAATACACAGGTGAGGATCTTATGTCCACCCTGGGGCCAGGGTCTTAGAAGGAGTATACAGTTGCCCCTCTATATCCATCAGTTCCACATCCCCAGATTTAACCAACTGCAGATTGAAAATATTTGGAAAAAAATTGCATCTGTACCGAATATGTACAGTAAAACAACTTTTTTTGGAGAAGGGATGGGTAATAGGGTTTGAACTCAGGGTTTGAACACCTCAACCACAGAGTCACATCCCCAGTCCTATTTTTTGTACTTTATTTAGAGACAGGGTCTTCTCTGAAGTGTTTAGCGCCTCATTTTTTGTTGAGGCTGGCTTTGAAATCACAGTCCTCCTGTCTCAGCTTACCCAGCCAATGGGATTACAGGCGTGCACCACTGTGCCAGGCTAAAACAACTACTTAATACACCGTTTACATTGTATTTGGCATTATAAGTGATCTAGAGTGACTTAAAACATGTGGGAAGATGTGCAGAGATTATATGCAACAACTATATTATTTTATTTGAGGTATTTGAATGTCTGTGTATTGGGGTATCTGTGGGGGTCCTGGAATCAATCTCCTTTGGACACTGTGGAATGACTGTAGTAGGTTGTAGCTGTGCCCCAGCCCAGATCTCACCACCCCAGGACAGCCACACTTACTCATCCTGTAGTCTTTGCCTGGTTGTGAGGCATCTTTTCTTTGTGACATCCTAGAACACCTCCTAAGGGCTTCCCAAATTCCTCCAGGCAACATTTTAGAGCCGGGAGGACCCAACTTTATAGACCTTAATTATCATGATTATTGAGGTCAATCCATTTTAATGTTTGTCATCCCTATCTTGTGGTGCAGGAACTAGATTTTAATCATTTATGTATCCAGTTTCTCACACCTGCCTGTCTCCAAAAAGTGTGACTTCCCCAGGGTGTAGAGTAAACACATGCATGCACTTCAAGTGGGTTTAAAGAGACTCTGTGGGAACAAATGGGGAAGAAATTTAATATATGTTCCAAAGTCCATATTTTAATGGACAATGTGGAGGATTCTCAGAGGATCAGAACAGTTTAGAGCTGGGGGGTGGTGTCTAACTCCTTCGTTTTGCAGGGGGAATAAAGGACTCAGAGGGGCTAAGTTATCACAGAAGTTACACAGCATGGAACTGCAGCAAAAACAGGGATGGCTGTTCACTTGTATCTCTTTCTTCTTGCAGTAGTGTCAGGGGTGCTGGGAAAATCTGAGTTATAATTCTTTTTATGAAACGTCACCAATTAGGATTTCCAAGATGCCCTGTGAGTCAGGAAAGGCTCACCCTACAATTCACACACCATCCCCCTATGTATCTCATCCTTTGACCCAAGAAACCAGTGTGATCTCAGTTGGTGAACTGTTGGCTCACACAGACCTGGCTTCATCAGGATGAATCACAGACACTAGTGTAGTAAGTGCAGATCATGGTGACTAGAACAGGTTTGTTTATACCATATTTTTACTCATCTATGTTAAATCCGTGCTCAAGACCTAAGGCTGCAAAGAGATACAACAAAACCCTCTTGTAAAGCACCTGGTTTTGTACAGAGTATATATTTCTGTAGAACAAATCATGATCCTCCTGACATCCTGCCAGTGAGCCATCCTACCACCACCCATCCATCCATCCATCCATCTAGTACCCAACAAACAAACAAACAAAAAAAACCCAAACCTGTAAAAGGCACCTGTGGAGTGCCTTTCATAGGTTTGTTTTTGCAGTTCTGAGAATCAAACCCAGGACCTTGCACATGCTAGACAAGCATCTACCACTGAGTTACACCCTCAGCCCACTTTTTAAATTTAGCTTTATTTTGTTAAATAAAATAAAACAGGGTCTCGCCAAGTTGTCCAATCTGGACTCAAACTTGTGATCTTCTTTCCTCAGCCTCCTGAGCAGCTGGAATTACTGATGTGTACCACCATGTCCTGCAAAACAGTTTTTTTTTAATCTGTTATCTCACTGAAACCTTATACCTTCCCTGAAAGATAGGTGGTTTTATCAACATTAAAGAATAAAATGAACAAGGACCCGAGTTGACAGAATAAGACACAGTGGCTACCTCCCAGGTGTGCAGAAGGGAGGGGGCCTATTTTTTTCCACTGAGCCCCAGTTATTTGCTTGCCTCTTTCACATATCCTGTCTCACTGAGCACTTACTGAATAGTTATTTTCATGCCCATTTTACATATGGGTAAAATTAGGCTCAGAGATTGGTAAAGGTAAAAAAGCTGGTAAGTAGCAGAATAATATTGAAACCTAGATCTTCCTCAGAAAGTAGTGTCCCTTCTCACCTCCCCTCTTGACCATGTGATGTAACTCTCATCCAGTTCCTCTAGATAGGTTGGTGGGTGCTGGGGCAGGAATCTACGGAACAGCAGCTAGTGGGGGCCTCTATCTTGCTACTTCTGGCTCCCACTTTGAGGTCTCTTGTACTCCCTATGCAAGCTGAAGTCCCCCAGGGACTCTTCCATAGTTACATGAAGGTTTCTCTTTCCCTGTGTTCCTCCCTACACTTGGCATTCTCCAACTTTCAAATTGCAGGTAGGTGTGGAGTTAAATCCTAGTTTCAGTTGGAATTTCTCTCAAATGACTAAAGAGTAAACAGGTATTCAAAAGTCATTTGAACTGGAATTGAATTAATTCTGACTCTAAAGCCTGTGCAGTGTCACAGAGTGGTCAAATACAATGGCCTCTGGGGCCCAGAGTCAGGGTTCCATTTCTGGCTTGCCTATGATTTGGGATAAGCTATGTAACCTCTCTGGGCCTATTTCTTTTTCTGTAATATGGGAATAATTACACTGTTTACATAATAAATGGTTTTGTGAAATTAGAATTGCTCAGGACAATGTGTGGCCCAGAATAAAAATAGTAAATGTTGTATCTATTCTAATGGATTGTGTGTTCTCCACACAGCCTCCCTTTTTACTCCAGTTCATAAACCCAGGGCCCTGCTTCTTTTTACCAAGTTAATATTGTGTAACCCTGTATTTTCCTTAGAATGTGAAACTGTAGAGAGGAACAGAGTGTGACTAGTCAGGCTTTCCTTTTGTTTGACATCCCAGGTCTTTCTACATACATTCAGAGAGTGTTTTAAGAAGTCACAATTGCCACATATATGAATCAGGGGATTGTGATCTTTGAATGGAAAAGATGAATTAGTTCCTTTTTTTTTTTTTTTGGTGCTGGGGATTGAATCCAGATGCATTTTACCATTGAGATACTGAGGCTGGCCTTGAACTTGTGACCCTCCTACCTCAACCTCGTAGGTCACTGGGATTACAGGCATATGCCACCATGTCTGGATGAATAAATTCCTTGAAAGGGAGGATAGAGCATCAGAGAACATTATCAACAGAGTGAAAAGGCAACCCCCATGGAATGGGAGAAATTATTCGCACATTATATATCTGATAAAGAATTGATATCTAGGGGGCTGGGATTGTGGCTCAGCAGAAGAGCCCTCGCCTAGCGTGGGCGGGACCCGGGTTCGATCCTCAGCACCACATAAAAATAAAGGCATTGTGTTGTGTCCATCTATACCTAAAAAATAAATATTAGAAAACAAAAGAATTGATATCAAGAATATATGGAAAACTCCTACAACTTAATAAAAAACCCAAACAACTTGACATTAAAAAGAAAAAAACAGATAAAGGATTTGAATATATATTTCTCCAAAGAAGTTAGACACATGGCTAAAAGTCACATGAAAAGATATTTAATACCACCAATTATTATGAGAAAACAAATCAAAATGTCAACAAAATTAAAAACAGAAAATAATAAGTTTGGTAAGGATGTGGAAAAACTGGAACCCTTGTGCACTGTTGATAGGAACGAGAATTGGTGCAGTGGCTGTGGAAAACAGTATGGTGGTTCTTCAAAAAATTAAACATGGATTCACCATATGATTTAGTAATTCCATTTTTGGTTGTATATCCAAAATAATTGATAGTAGGGATATTATAATTTGAATTTCAGCTCTGTCACATACTGTGTGATCCTGGGCAAATCATTTCATGTCCTGAGCCTCATTTTTTTTTTATTTGAAAAGTATGTATAATAAATGTTAATTCCCTTCTCATCCTGATGAACCCAGTCTAATTCCCTTTAAGATTGGGAGTCATCTCGTCACAAAGTCACGAAAAGTTAATTTCTGTTTTACTATAAAATACTGAGAATTCTAAACTTGTTGGGAATTCCTGCCTGTGCTCTGAACTCACCCATGCCTGGCTCTCCTTGACCAGATAGCTACCCTCCCTAAAACCTTAGTGGCACCTCATAAATCCTTGTTCTCCCTGACCAGATAACAACCCTCTCTGAAACCTTAGTGGCGCCACATAAATTCTGATGTTGGGATCTGAAATTACTCCCTACCTTGAAATACCATGCTTGTAGATCATTAATCTACTCTCTGCCCTTGTATTCCGTTTGCCAGAACCCTATTAGCTGTAAGTTCCCAAGACACCCCTTTGCAACTTTTTGTGCTATAAAAACCTTTTCTTCCCTGAGAGCGGGGCTGTCTTCAAGTCCTGAAATTTTGGGTGAGGAAGCTGCTGGCCAGCTCTCTTTATGTCCACAATATCAGCTTGCTTTAATTTGGTTTAAAATTGGAGTCAGTGGTCTTTTCTTTGTGTCGTGGTTCAACATCCCTCTTGGAGGAAGAGGGATAATTTGGCAC